CCGCTTGACCGACATTCATTCGCACACACACGCGAGCACACAGGCAAGCGCACACGCCTGCCCAACCAGTCGCGGTTTCCCAAGACACTTGAACGCGCCACCCTGCGGCTTACACAGCAGGGGACCTCTATGCGCGACACCCCCTTAGGGCAATCGTAAAACACCAATAGCAAACCACTTGAACTTGCTTCACAGTCATGTAAAAGCAGCTTCCATCATCACTCTTTCACATTACACACTCTCGGGCACGGCTGGACGCAGTCAAGATCAGCCCCGGCTTTGCCAGTGGCCACTGCTGCCTGAGACAGCAACTCGGGGTTCTGTGCACAATGAAGCCCTCACTCTGGTGACATCTGCCTTTTACTTTCAACCTGGAGATTTGGCCTTAGGATTGTAGTGCTCCAAGTACAACCACTACTTGGACCCTACATATCTACCAGTCCATATGCAAAGTAAATCGTCCTCTCACTCAAAAAGTTAAAAACTCTGCAAAAACTGGAGAAACTCTCTGAGCGACAGAACAGATGGGAGGTTTTTTATAGTTGCATAGTTAGCTACCCATTAAAAAAAGGGCAGCGCTGACGGCCGTGAACCCAAAATAAGATTGTGGGGTTCATCTAATTTGGCTTATTACCTTAGGAACTTCTGCTCCCCAGTGTGGGATCTTAACGGACAGATAGCTGCTGGCTTCCATAAAACAATCCTACTGACAAAAGATCCTACATCTGCAAGTGGTATGCAAATCGAAACAGGCTCAATAAATTCTCCAAGGCTAGTTTAAGAGTTGGCAAGCCATTAAAAAATTGCAGTACTGACAGCCGTGGGGTGGCATGCTCATATCGAGTTTAAAACATATATATCCCCATTGTGTTTTTGAGTAGCGAAACGCAGAAACTTAACAGCAACACGTAAAGTAACCGGAAGATCGACTGCTTAGATTCGAACGCACTGTTTTACATGCCTAACTAAATCACATAAGTAGCCAATTCTATAGTAATAAGAGCATTGTCCGACACACTAGATCCGAACCCACTGTGTATTCAGTTTAAGATCATGGATGCATTAAGAAGACAATGTGTTTTGGTTAAGTATTCGCCCAGATATCCAGCCTGTCGCGTACGTGCGCTAGTTGACATCAGACGAGTGTCTCTGAGCTAGCTGGCTAGCTTCTGGCAGATTCATTCAATTTTGACATAGTGGTGAGCGGTAGCATGTACCCCCTTATGCTGAAATCCAAAGACATTGAAAAGAGCCGTAGCAGTAGAATCAATTATGATAATGGTGATGTCTGCGGTGGCGTGGTGAAAAGTGCAGACTTTCACTTGTACAAAATATGACATAGGGCGGTGAATGTTGGAAACAGAATGATTATTGCCCAGCTCAAGGCATAACTGTATTAAAACTATCACACCGCCTTAAATTCAAGCGCGTATGGATGCAGAAAAGGGGGAGAGCGTAAGAATACTGGTTTTTGTACATAGTGGACGCAAAACGGTCGTCTTAAACGAACCGTTTGAAGATGGTGGGGAAACGATCGGAGAAGGATTTTGACGGCTTTAGTGGAGCACCAAGAGCCTGAGTGACTTCTGAGTAAGAAGGCCACTTTTCCATTTTACCGTAACCCACCATCGTAGGCGGTGACTTCAACATCCGGCTCATGAGCTCCTGTAGGTCGTCCGACGTGACTTTGTCTGCAAAAACAAGGACTCTGCATTAGTTGTGCTCAAAAACTAGCTTAAATGCAAGATAAAACCCACACAAGCTACAGTAATTATTATTTCAAACACAAGGACGTGACTTTGTTCCCGTTTCTTCGTGCGATTTCAGCACGTCCGTGTAAGACACCATAAAAGGACTATGACTGTGTATTAAAACGGACTACTTTATTGTATAAAGTAGGTAGTCATTTATGTCAAAAATGTTCACTCACTAATCTCTTGAACCCAGTACTCCGCGGGTTTCCACTCGCCGGATGCCAGAACCTGTCGCGCTATGTCCTCGAAGGCCACAGGTCGCATTTCCAGATTCATCAAAAGCATGGATTCGAGTTGATTCTTCGCGCGCTGCAGTTCGTTCGCATTGATAGGAGCCTCAACAGTGTGACGTATTTCACTGATTAGAACCTTCACAAGGTGATGCAGATTCTCGGGTTCGCAACTGCCCGTAATCGCAAAGAGACCAGTATCTGCATAGGCATGGTTGGCCGCCTGAGCTGAATTCACCCAATGATATCTGCAAGAGACAAAGCACAAGACTAAAATGAGCCTGCCTAATAAGTGTGGCCAGCAAACGGGTAGTCACACATATTCGCCAAATTGAATGTACATTAAAAGATAAAACAGAAAGATGCGACGTCGCATGTAAAAACGTAACAATCCGATGAGTGAGTACCAGTGTTTAGCAACTTAGACATAAGCGGAAAACGCGTTTTTAATATAAACAGCTATATAAACCGCATAAAATGGTAACGAATAGATTTAGATCCGTTTAGGATAATTGCAGACGAAGGAATGACTGATGCGAGGATCTCAACTACTTCCACTTCTAGAAGACCATCCTTGCTCGCGAACCAGCTACGAGAAATTGGATTCCACTTAGAGGCGGACAGCAAATGCCCTGGTTTAGTACTGTTTATGCAATTATACAGGGTGAACAGGGATCCTGGATGGGAACTCACTTTACAATCCTATGATCAAATCCGGTTCATCAATGCGGTGGGATGGTCGTTGAACAAAAATACGCTGTCGAATGTAGTTTAGGGCAGATACACTGTCGGCAAATGCTAACGCATAAAGGCGTGACATAAAAAATAGACATTATCTGGGCTGCATAGAGCAGGAACGAACACAGTCCTGTGAATGCTTGGGATAAATTCAGTGAGGGCGCCCGGCTAAAAACTGTCAGACCGGAGCGGGCGTTTAAGGCTTAAGCGACAAGACGAAGGAGTCACCCTCGCCACCAAGAACGATGTCGCTCCGCGAGCACTTGGTTGTGCACGCCGTCAGTATGAGGACCTGTTGGATGCTCACGATGATGATTGGACGCGAGGGCCCTTGCTCGTCTTTACTTCTTAGAATGCCTGCTTATGTTATTTGCGTAGGCGTAATTGAACTCCTCTTTCCTTTCTATAATTCTTATCACGCCTTCCACAGATGTCACCATTAGGATTGACATTCGGCTTAGGATTGGGATCGTGGATATATGGGTATATAGTTCGCGTTATTTTTGTTTTTGAATTAATTCAAGGATCAGAAAACCTTGAATCAAGAAGGACGCATTTTAAATACCTTTTGTTGAAGTAAAACAAGCTAAATTTCAATAAAAGTGGACGATCTCGGATATCGAAATCATTCTCTACGCCATTCAATATCAAAGATCAAAACCTATTGTGTGTGTTGTGCTATGAAAGAACACCTATAAAAAGCAGGAAAATGTTCAAATAAATCCCCTCCGGAACGGAAAAACCTGACCTCACGTCCACAAAAATCAGGTGAAAGCAGGTACGGAGAATCGTACTGACCTTGAGAAACGAATTTGGGTTTTAAAATTATTTTTGAAAAACTGTACCCTTTTTGTTGCCACAGAACGCAGTAATAAAGTTTTTTGGCAGTACTCCGTTTAACCATACAGAGAATTGGGACAGTAAACAACTATATATCGAGAGTCCGCGAAATGGTGACACTGTTTTATGTCATACTGTACGATAAGGATATCAAAGCACTGCCTGTCAGCACTTGATTTTGAGCACATAGGAGAAGCGGCAAGAGAAGGAATGCCGCGTAAGTCAATATGTAATATTTTCGATGTGAGACAAGTTTCACTCCAGACTCAAAGCAAAGTTACCACGCCCAACTCAAATTTCATCTAAAAAAACACCACTACCACTACTACCACCACCATCCCATTACTTCACCGGTTCAATTCCCCTTCACCTCTCCTGCAGCCGCACCTTCCACCCAGAGGCCAGCCTGGTTGACAATTTACCTTAAGTCCCAATACCTTCCTGACACACACGCGCCTCACTGGCCCGCACAGCCAGGGATATTTAGACCTCGGACGCATGCCCATGCACAAACGTGGGATTCACTGTCAATTCGCCACGATTAAACCACTTCCCGCAGCCAAAAAATACCTCTACCGTCATCATCACCAGTCCCGCAAACACTATCTCAAGTCAGCCCTACGGTCGAACTACAGTAGATTTGCTGTCGCATGAAACCTTAATTACCCATTTTCGCATGGATGCAGTCGATGCAGTTAAAAGTTGTAACATACTCTACCGAAAACAGGCACCAAAATAGTCCTTTTTGTAGTCATTTGGTAACAAATTACATCTGCCTCAAAGTTGGACCTTAAACATAGGATATCTTTAGGTTTTGAGAAAAGTTCTAGTTATGGGATCTTTGAAGACGGAGATATCGATTCAGAAAGCATTGAATCTGTCAGTTAATTATCGTTGCCTTTAAATTGTACACAATGTTCGGCATCTATAGCCAAATTGTGCTAACGCTATGTCAAGTCTTCTTAAAAGCGTAGAGGAATATAAAGTTTCCATTAGGCGGAATGTATAAAGTATACAGTTTAGAAAGCTCAAATGTAAGTTTGACGGCCGGTAGGGTTCAAACTTATTGGGCAATATCGAAAGCCTTTTTACAGTCGAAAAGTATCCATTCTTCAAGTATAAAATTTAAAGGAGACAATTTTCTGCCACATAAATATAAGAAATAATATTTTTATGAATATTTTTTAAGAAAATTTATTTTAATTTAAAACTGCATCGAAAATCAGCAAGAAAAATGCACACTGTTTAAGTAGTCATTTTTTCCAGAGCATAGATTTGCAAGTGAATGCAAAGATACTCGTTTAAGAGCCTACACCTTGACTTGACTTAAGTATTCTGGGATAAGGTAGCGTGATAAATAATATTAAAACCCTACCCAAGCAATATTTTCTAAACGAAAGTACAGTTCAGAATTTCGGTTCGTATTTCATGCGATAGCACCTCTCCTGTAAGCACTTGATTAGGTAACAATAAAATTGTCGATTTTATGGGTCATCCAGAAAAATGCCTCCTAGTTAGTGTTGTGAGCCTACTTTAGTCACGGCACTTAGACAAACACGACAATCGGAAGTACATTCTAGTGCATCTGTGTGTTCGGACTCTCCTTTGCCAAAAAAGTAAACAGCGTAAACTATTCCTGATGGCGAGAAAAATTCCTCAGGCCGGTGTGGTGTACACCCGAAGGACAAGCACTTCATGAGTTACTTTTGAAACCGGTCAGTGGACGTAATCGAAGAGGTAGTGAGGTAGTGTTTAGTATTGGCTGAGACCAAGCTCCCTATCCCAAACAACGAAATAAACCCCTGTGGAGTGAAGCTGTGTGGTTTTGCAACTAAAATTTATTTAATGACCTTTGAACCAACGGTTTTGACAAGGTCCACGATGTGTCCTAGAGCATGACGGTGCAGGGATGGCGACATGCCCGAGAAGACTTTGTTGCATTTAAAGCACTCTCTACTTCTCCCCACCTAGTGTTTTGAGGGCGGGAGAGAGCGCAGTTGGCTAGCGTGGCTAGAGCTGCCCCCTATGTGAGCCGTCACATTCTTGAGAAGTGAGTTTACGAAGTGGTTTTTACAGAACGTAGTTTTTGCAGGTTGCCACAAAGATACTCGTTCAAAAGCCTACATCCCGACCTAACTAAAGTATCCTGGGATTAGGTTGCATGACAATTAATCTTACAATCCCACTCAAGTTAACCTTTCGAAACGAAAACACAGTTCAGAATGTCGATTCACAGTTCATAAGATAGCACATTTTCAATAGGGACTTGATAATTTCCTCAAAATGTGCCTTCCCAAAATTTGGAAAATAAAACTTACTGATTGAGGACGTTTAAGTAGAGACGGGAGTACATGCCCTTGCCAGGACCACCGGCCGAGAAGGAGCCGCCACCACCGAGAAGCGAGTTGAGGAGACAAGCGGTGACGAACTGGGCATCCTTCGAGCCACAGGCCTCCAGGCCGATTGCACAGTGTGCGTATTCAGGCATAGGAGCGTGGTACTGCGACAAGTCGCGGTGAACCTAGGATGAAAAAAAACAGCAGACAAACCTACAGAAACGGAAAACTTGAGTACCCACGGCCCCCATGTAAAAAAATGTTGTCCACAGTAGAAGAATAGAGGTGGAGGTACACTACAAGAATGCCTCACACACAATTGAATATATCGTTCAGAAGGAGGTCCACCACCAATAACATCCGCAAACCCTTTTTCTCCTAAATCCCACACATTACCCCCACAACAGCGACAATTCTTCTCCTAAAAATCCCTAAGGAGTTTTTTCACTGTCTGCTCCTATTTTTCCA